TATATAAAGATAAGGATAAAAGCTTGATATTTTTTTTTTTTTTCTCTTCCCACCGCCTCACCCCTTCTTTTCTCCCATTTTTCTTCTTTTTTTTTTTCTTACTTGTACAAATGTTTGGTCTACTATCTAAGTGTATGGTGATGATGGAGGACAAGTGGGTTGATTATAGGGTAATAAGTGGCCTTAAAACCTAGATTTACAAAGGAAACCTCTCATCTTTTCAACTAATATAATCTAAACCCGCTAACTTTAATTGCTAACATAGTGTACCCCAAATTTAAACTTGTACCCAACTTACATATTCAAAAATTGTAGATTGTAACATAATTTAATCATTTGGTCAATTGAAGCCCTAACAAAACAATCTACTTCATTTAAATCCAAACTTGCCTTAAGTTTCGACTAACTATTAACCACTTCATGTATACACAACATTGACGTTTCATGCCTACATTCATTAACTACCTCTAACATTAACCACTACAAAGGTGTTGTCCCCTTTTACCGTATGGCCAAAAATAATATTGAAAGTTAAATTGCTATCCCAAAGAAATTTAAACAAGCATAAAATTTCGGAGTATTACAATAGCATCATCTGTGCAATGAGGCTACTGCTTCAAATCAACGTCACTTAAAGGTTGCGTGATGTCGCTTGGTGGTCGTGTTTTGAGCACGGTGGTGGTGGCGTCTTCGTAATGACTTCGAAGAAGAGAAAGTGAAGATAGAGAGAGAGAAACGAGATGGGAAAGGGGTAAAGAGAGATGAATGAGATGAGAAATTATTTAGGGTGTCTGATGAAATTTGTATTATAATATTTAATATTTAAATGTAAAAAATTTGATTTTTGAACAATGAAACATCCTACCTGATTTTAGAATCCTTAATTTTTTAAAGTGGAGTGTGGTGTAATTTCCACTTTGAACTTACATATATCATATTTCTAGGGGGAGAAAAGCACATATACCCAATAAAAATAAAATATTTCTTGATATCTTATAAATTTATATGTTATATAGAATATACGATATAATGAAAAAAGAACATCATAAGTACTATCTTAATCTCTCTCTTCCACCATTTGTAACTAAAAATTATAGTAGCTAACATTAAGCCTACAACTAATAATATCTTAAGAAGAAAAGCTAATAAAAAAACTAAGCGAAATTTTAACGCATCAACACTATGAGAGGGATAGTGGGTTCCTTTCATCTACTACACAGAGATACATCAATCCCCTTCTTTGTTGAGTATTCTACATCCTTCTTATGAATTGATTCATGGTTGTTGTTCCTCTTCTAATATACTTTACAAATCAAAGTAATTTTAAATTATTTGAAATAGTTTACTATTTTTGGTGCTCTTGAATTCAAAATATTGATTGATTGGATATCTAAGAAAATATCTATTTTTTTTGTAGAATACAATTAAATTTTCAATTTTGTCTCTTTTATCAAAGTATTCTACTGTTCTTCTTTATGTTTATGGAATGCACTGACACACAAAAAATTCTTTGAGCGGTATTTATGATGGAGAAGGGAGCAAGTTATTAGTGGGAGATAACTACCCAATCCTGTACCGATGAACAATAGCGTAACCTTACATGGCATAGTTCAAAGAGATAGTGCTTTAGAAGTACTTTCTAGCTACTTTAAGAGACAAGAGGGAAGTAAAGATTCTTGAGCTGAAGTAGGGAAACATGATGATCATCGATTATGAGCGAAAATTTGAGGAGTTATCCAGATTTACCCCACATTTGGTGGACATAGAGGAGAGACAAGCTCAGCT